CTCACGTACAGTGCTGGATGTGCCGTAGTATATCACTCAACATACAATAAAAGTGTGCACTGAAACGGCATGATATAGGGTGTAGTTGTGGCTAGGAATGGAGGTGCAGTACAGTGACCAGTGGGGCATAAAGGCTGCTGTTGTATCCAGGGTTTCATGTTGTGGTACCCTAATGACTGAGCGCACAAGGAGGCCAGAGGCGGCTAGCAGCCTTGAGCAAAAGTAAGCCCTGGAAGTGCCCATCCTCATTTGGTAACCCCATTAAGATGGCTTCACTGGCTAAAATCCTCTGGTTTTATCTGTCACAACGCAAGACTGAATCAAAATTTATTACAATTTCTTCCTGTAGTAATTTTTTCCTATACTCTCTATTTTGAAAAATAAAGATATTAACTAATAATAAAGAAACATGTATAAAAGATGTAAATGAATAACTAATAAATAGGCTTTTCATTTTCTATCAGCCACAAAGCTCTCACAGCTATAAGAAAAATCTGAATCATTAGCGAAGGAGAGTGGGTGGTTTCACATAAGTTGTCTTGCAAATGTACTTACTCCCACTTTTTTCTATTTGTATATGTAAAGTAGAACTGTTGTGCTTTCCCTTATAGTTAGTCATGGATCCTCATATTCAGCATGGCCAACATGAATAATGAAAAATAATTCTATAAAAATATAGAGAGAGCTAGAAATGAGCATTATAAGCCACCTTTCAGTACTGTGGACAATAGTGTTCATCTTTCTTACATTTTTAAGTGCAATATGTCATTTTTGAACTTTTAGTAAGAAAAACAAACTATGTGTTTATTTCTGCTCTTTCAATAATTATTTTTCCAGTCTGCAGATATGTACCCTAAGATGATGTTTGTAATAAATTTCTGAGTGTAAGTTTTGAACATTTTTCACGTTCCACATTAAATCAAACTTTTAGTGTTTTTGACCAAGAATCACATTTTGACTTTCTTTCTTTCTTTGAAGAAGTAAATGTTCAATTAAAGATCAAAAGAAGATCTAAATTACTTTTCCTGTCAGCATCAGATGACCAACAGGCCTGTGGATGTGAATGTGCCTGCCAGCCTCCACAAAGCATGTCATTATGGGAGCCTGACCCTCTCTGTCTCGCTACTCTCATCACTGAATTTGCCATGCAATTTACAGTAGTTCTGAGAAATCACGATAAATTCTCTCGTCTTTTCAGTAAACCTACTATCAGTCCTTGCATACATAGTGTTGAGAAATAAATGTTTGTAGGTTGAAGCATGTGACCTTTGGGTTTTTAAAGAGGTCTTAGAACCACAAGAGGAAACTTGTCATTAGAGGAATATGTGGAAACAAGGATGTGGCAGGAGCTCCAATTGACTATCACTTTTCCAGCGACCCGTGTTAAAGCTCTACAGTCAAAGAGGCACAGCTGACATTTTATTAAGGCGGAATGACTGTTTTAAGGATTCGGGACATTTTCGATGGTGGCAACGCGGATACAGATGGGATTTCAAGCATAGGTTTTCCAGCTTGGTTAAAGTCTAAGTGTCCACCTTCAATTATACTTCTTTTTTTTTTACATTTTATTTTTATTGCCCATTTTTCCATGTTCTTTCATCCTTACTCCGTTTTGTGCAAATTTAATTTCCTCTTGTTTGTGCATAACAGCCTAACACTCTTGAACAGATTCATAAAGCTTGGTTTCAAAACGGCTTTCACGTAGGAAATGTGTCTGGTACTTTCCTTGATCCTGGTTGGTGGGGCTGGATGTAAGAATACAAATGGACAGCATATTTTGCTCAGATGTTAAACACTCGTTATTACCCTACCCTGCAGGCACCTCCATAGTAAGTTCATGTGATACCAGATTAGCCTCTTGCAAGAACAGTGAAAGTAATTCTCTGGAAAATTCCGGAAATGTTTACCACCAGAAGAGTCATTTTTGAGTAATTTGTGCTCCAGGAAATGTGTAGGGAGCTGCTAATGAATGTGACTATAAAGTATAGATTAGTCTATCAACATTATTAATATGTGTGATTTAAAATCTTTTACCCGATGTGACTGTTCTGCAGTGGGCTATGTGAGTATTTGATATTAAACTGGTTATTTTTATTGCATTATTGCTCTGTTTTTGTTACATTTAATACATTCTGACTGTCTTTGGCAGTGCAAATGAAACTAACTGAAAGTAACTTACTTTGATAATAAAGTTTCACTTTAATTCTAACTAGAGTCAAGCCACTGATCAAGCCTTGCTGCTGAAAGCAAGCAAATCTTTAAAAATAACCGTTGTTCATTTTTGTATTCATGATCAGTTTTTGGCAAACTCAGAGGGAGCCAATAAAGAATGAGGAAAAAGAGCCACTTGTAGCTCAAGAGTTGCTGGTTCCTGTCCTAAATGGCCAGATCTGAAAAACAGGCCAACTTTGGCGAATGTCCTGAGTTGATTCTTCTTCAATTGCCAATAATTCATGTATGAATACATGAATATAGATGGATACTGTCTACTGTGGTCTTCGTTACAGTACACTTTCCTGCTGCCTTTAACCTGAACCCAGCAGGCAGATGAAGGACCTTACTGTACAAATTGTTACTTTACACAGTTTTTGCTTCGTCATCAAACCTCTTTGACTCAGACTTTTTGGGTCATTTTGAGTCAGCAAGTTTTACCACGTCTTCAAACTGAGAGGTCCTTGATGATTACTTTTTTTTTTTCTCTCGCTTGCTTTGCCTTTATGACTGGCGACACGCCACCACCATGAAGACATCACCAGAGAGCAGCCACTGCAATGCATCAGCTTAGTCCTTTCCATATATTTAAGTGATTGCTGACATTATTTATGAAGGGAATGAAAAATAAAGTCTGCATTGCAATAACATTAAAAAAGAGAGATCTATAATTTATTTGGCCTGCCACAAGTCAGCACTCTTCGCCACCAACCCCCCTACGCACATCTCATTTCTGTGCATTTGCAGATTTCGCCTCCCTCCTCTTTTCCCTCTCAGTAGCACAGGGGGCCCATCTTTAGGGGGTGGTAGGTTGCTTTTTGGGGGTGTTTAGGGGTATCAAGGTAGTCCTGGAGGGGAGTCGGCGCAGGACTTTTGGCTCCGGCCTGGAAATGCCTTCACGTTTACAAACAAACTGGCTCTTTCGCTCACCCTGTTTGCCTTTGTGGCTTTAATTTTTTTTCAAGGCCTGTACAGGCAAACACACAGCAGGAAACACTGGCTTGTTGATCGCCTTCACAGAACAGCTCATAAACCCAGCCAGTATGAATGTAAGGGGCCTGTGTGTGTGCGCACGCGCGTGCATGTATCGGTTGTGTACTTCAGAGGAGCGATATTTCCTCCCCCCCCTTCTTCTCTTCTTTTTTTTTTCCTAATCAACCTAAGGAGTGTTATGGAAGTAAACAAGCAAATAATTATTAAGCATTGAATCATGCGATTGAGGAAAAGGAAAGCTAACATGTCCTTAAAGTCAAGTTTCACTGTAAATAAGAAATTACAGTTTGATTGTCCAGCCATGTTTGTCTGTTCCTGTTTATGGATGTTGCTTGGAAACAATACTAAATCACATTGTTCAACATGTGGCATCTTCTCACACTCTCTCTTTTGCCCTCTCCCCTGCTCGCTCGCTCAGCCGCTGTGCGTTTGTAAACATGCAACTGGGATACATGGCCTCATTGTTTTGCATCATTATTACTGACAGGCCTAAACGACTTGAATGATGGGAAGCCCTCATACAAAATTAACCCAGCCCCGTGTGTTTACTCTGCATAAATCATGTTGCTCATTGGGTTGAAACAGAATGAGGGGGGAAATGGGCCTCACATCCTGACATCTGCAAAGCACCTGTCCTGAGCCATGCATGCTAACAGGGCCAGAGCGCATTCAGACAGCTATCTCCCCTCATTTTACTCTCTGGCCTTGCAAAACGCCATGACTGTCATTTTGAAAAATGTGTTTCAAAATGTATTTTCTGCTAAATATTGAAGCCTACCTTACTAGGATGATGTCCTAAATACATCATGATGATATCAGCTGATTTAATGTATCCTTATCCTTACATGTAAGTGCATTTTCTCTGTCAGTCGATGCCTTTATCCATTTTTGAGTAATGCACATTGTTTAAAAAACAAAAAAAGAAAATCAACTTGCACACCACCCAGCATGCATCGTACTGTAATTGTAAGGGGGTGGCCAGTCTCTTCCCTGGACACATGCCTTGTTTTGCCATTCATTATTAGACAGCTCTCCAGGATCACATGACTACCTGTCCCACTAACCTCCCACCAGACCTTATCAGTGGTTGTACAGCAATAGTTTCCTGCGAGGCTTTTCTAGTTGGAGGGAGTTGTGTAAGCCACACTGGCTGAGAACAAAGCTATGCTTCTACAAAAGGGAGGAGGCTGGCACTGCTGGGAAAGGTGCCTGGCCTTCATCAGCCATCGCCACCAATTCGGAAGTGAGTCACTCCTCTGGCGTGTGCAGAATCTCTCTCAAAGGTCACCTGCGCTGACTGCAGCACTCCTCCATGCCATTGCATAATTCCATCAGTACTGTAGCAACAAGGCTGCAGGAGAATGCCTGCATTTATATTTTAGACATGGCAGATCAGAAAAGTTGGACAAGCACTGAGAAGGAAAACTACACCAGGGAACTGCAGTGAAGCACATTTTATGAAATTAACTCACCATGGTTCATTGTTGTTTTGCAAATTAACTCTAAACTTGAAACAAAAAACAGTGTGTTCATCTTGTTTTTGTTCAAACTCTTCTTAAACACTCTCTCAGATTCTTCTTTTATATGACATAAAAGATATGAGGTGTGATTTTCTTACTAAATTGCTGCTCTGTTACTGAAGCACATCAACCTACATGACTAGTCTATCATGACATCGATCAGCATCTAAATGTGCCCCCTCATATGATTCAGTAGTGCTCAGTGGATGGAGTGCTTTGCCTGACTGCTGACTGTAACTGTGTCTGTTTCCTGACTGTGTCTGTTTCCTGTCCCAGATAACTGCAGTATGTAGAGAGGCTGCCCTCCTGGCCCTGCAAGAGGACATCAAAGCTCGGCACATCGAAGCCAGACACTTTGAAAGTGCCCTGAACACTGTGAAGCCCCGAATCCCTGACTCTGTCATCCAGTCGTATATCAGCTATCAGCAGCAACACAGTGGCCTGTGTTTCTTCTGACCACACAGCTATGGAAAAAGTCAAAATTAGGATTTTCTTGTGTATATGTGTTAACTGTACCAGTCTGCTTCATTACACAGTGTTAAATGTTTTCAAACCACAACGTTAGGCCAAAGAATCTCATCAGTTGTAAATCGCTGACTTTAAAATAAGACTGTTTTTATTGCAGCGTTGACACTATTGCTTTATTTTTTGACTTTGAAGGATATGGTGTGCTGTCATGTTTGATCAAATAAAAATGATGATGTATTCATACTGTCATCAATCCACTTATTGTCTTTGGTTGCCTTGTTTTAATCCCATATAACAGTGGTGAGCCAGTGTGGTAGTTTGCACTGTTAAAGACGTCCAGCCGTGAATTTACAGCAGTATCGGCGTGCTGAGAAAACCCGTAAACTAACACGTCCCAAATCACGTTAAAGCAGTGCAGTCTTATAGATCTGATTGGATTTAAATACCTCCTATGCTCTGGTTTGTTGTAGCTTAACATTCACCTATAAATCTGTCCATCCTACATGTTTCCAGGGCCACTTTGTGTAATTTATGAGTTGTGGCTCTTCTGGATTTTGAATAACTCCTCCAGTCAAATCGCAGGTTTTTCTGCATTTTCAGGACATGTTGCGTAAAGCTGCAATAAAATCTAAATTGGTAAAAACGTTGTCTAACTGATTATACAGTTGGTGGGCAGTGTGAGCCCTCTAATCAGAATATTCCATATGCACATGGTCATCTATGGAATTAAATAGCAGCATTAGACAAGGACCCCTGATGGTTCCTAAACCCCGAGTTTGGTGAACCGCTGCTCCGCATCCACGGGGAGAAAAAACAGCCGGGGCTGGTATATTCATCACATCTACCCATGGAAAATCAACTAATTGCTGTAATCGTGAGATTTCCGTCCGCACTTCAGACCACTGAGAGCAGGGATCCAGGCGGCCATCTGTCGGTCTACCAGGGCTTTCTTTATCATCAAGAAGCTACATTTTTACATCGGGCCTGATAAAAAAAACAACCTCTAAGTTATTATTGCACCGCGGAGTCACTTTTACACTCCGCAGGTCTTTTTGTTCGATTCTTTTTTAAAACATTTGCTGACCCGAAATGGCACTGGGGGTCATTCATCTATTGATTTTTCCATTTGAATAGGATAAATTGACTTTGTATTGAACTTCCTTTTCTCATGGATCCGGATGTAGCGCATCCGCGACACCAATCAAACCAGACAGTCAGGAACAGAGAAGAGGGGGGTGGCAGGAGTGAGGAGGGGAGCCTTTCCCCCCTGGCTGCAGGGCAGCTTTTTTCTTAAGGTGGTCTGAAGCTACAGCGCACACTGCCCCGCAAATCCCCACCCCACCGCTGCCCAAACAGAAATCAACACAGAACTCCTCTGATAGTGATTTCATATCAGAGAATCGTACAAACTGAACATTCATTGCCACACGTTGTGTTTCCTCTGATGACACGAGTTAGTGCGTAATGGGAACATTCCACAGAGGACAGAGGACATCCTGTTGATGCTTCCTCTGTGAGTTGTCTGTACAATGACACAGCTGTGTGGGAAGAAACTAGTTGGGCTCGAGTCTGTATTTAATTCACAGAGACTAATGAGTTAGATGTGTATGGATCCCTATTTCACAGCAGTAAACAGGTAGCTACAGAGACACACAGACACGATGAAACTGCAGTTTAAGAGCTATTTTTACTCAATATATGACTCTTTCTTATTTCTATAACAAACTTTTCTCTAGTCGTATGAGGTTCCTTGACATGTGCAAGATTTAACCCAATTTAACCATATTTATTAAACTTATATTTCTCATCCAAACCCTATAATAATTAACTTTGATGTTGTTGTCGTTAATCTTACTCATATTTCCTCTAAAATCCTATACAAATATTTTTTTTGTGCCCAGTACAAATATATCAAATGCCCCTTTTGAAACAATATGCGGTTTATTTTTCAGCTTATAAGGACCATCGTGGTATTTGGGTGCACATTTTTGAAACATGGGCAAAAAATAAATAAATAAATCAGAAATTCTGAATCTACGTAAAGTGGTTTTCTTTCCTGCTTTTGATGCGTGTGTATGGTCTTAATAATGACAACTCAGCAGTGTTATAAATAAATACGGCGTTTAATACGTCACTATTAGTCACATCACCCTCATTCACACCATTAATCATAACCCACAAGAACGGAAACTAGTATTTTTTTTTCTTCCCCTAACCCCCTCGTTGAGTCAACGTTTGCGTTTTTAAAAAGCCGTTCCACCTTAACCAGTGCACACATCTCTATCGCCCGGCCTTCCACATCTGCCCAATGAATCAGGAACGGATGCGATGTATCCTTTTTCAGCGGAGTGGCTGGCCAATGGGAGTTGGATTGTCGAGCAAACACTAAGCCCTGAGCCCCCATTCATCAGTGCTGAACAGGCCCGCAGAGCAGAAGAGAGCGCACCGCTGTCTGCAACATAACGACGCTTTTGCACAAGAGCGCAGATTTCCCGCAACAATAACTAACAGCCAGAACTCAAATACAATTCTCAGCAGATACGCGAGGAGGAGAAACTTTTGGATATAAGCTCGCGCGTGTTTATTTATTTATTTTTTTCCCTCTCAGCCTTCTTCATCAGAGCTCCGCCGTGGATTTACTTTATCTTGGGACAGATGCACGCGTAACACACGCTGAACTTTTCAGTACGACTTAACCGAAAAAAAAAAATAAAAAGGGAATAACGCAAAGGGATACATTCGCACTTGGATTAACAGACTGAATGTTATGCATTAGACCTCATAATCTACAGCTGGACATTGCCCCTTCCGTTTGGATGGAGTTTTGGTAGATTATTTGGTTGATGGATTCGACGCTATGGATGCTTGCATATAGGTATGCATCTTCTTAGTGATTTTACGCTTATTTTGCGCATTTTGCTTTGGTTTTAGGGCATTTGTTGCCCGATAGTAGGGCACGTAGCTACCTAGAAAGCGCCGCTGCAGCAATGAAGTCCAAATGTTTTGCTGTGCGCAAAGACTTTTCGTCTTATTTTCCATGTGTTCGCCATGAAATAAAGAATCCGCTGTGGGTTGAACAGATCGCGACTACTTGGTGAAGTTGATGGATTTCCACGCCAGTGTTGTTCCGTGGCTGTGCTGTAACAAACACCCCTCCCCCATGGCGGTTGTTTTCATTCATAAGTTTTGCCCGTCTATTCGGACGCGTCCTGTAATGTCTCTTGATCTCCGGCTCTGTGGTTTTTATAAGATCCTGTTTTTATTACTGCAAACAACGCCTTCTCATGTGAGCGCGTTCTGTGCATATGATCCTATTTAAAGTGCGCCATTTGACGCATAGACTATTAAATGTGTAGAAAAATATTTTTTAATATAGTTGAAACGTGAGTTTGTTTATGTGCAAAGCCGCAAAATCGATATTTCTGCTTTGATTGTAGTAGTTTTTATTTATTTTTTAATCGTCAATAGTTTTAAGGAGCCCTTCAAGGGACACCTAAGCTTTATGTTTTTGTAAACTGTAAGTTTCGGCCTCCTGCAGGTCGGCTGTGCTTAATAACATCCCCAAAGACTCAAGTTCAAATTCCTAATCGTATTCCTACTATAAATACAAATGCGACATATATATATATATATATATATATACTTCAAAAATTGGGGGCTTCTCGGCACTGAAATAAGGTTTTAATCTGACGACTTTCGAGCGTTTTTTAACTGCCGTCTATATTTTGTCGGAACTTGATCTGACCTTAGTTTTCTAGCTCTACTTTTGTCCCCGTTTCCCTGAAATCCTTTTTGATGTAGTAATAGAATACTAAGTGAGGCAGCTCATTTAGTTCCCTTGGATCGTGTCCTCGTTTCGTCGCCGCGGTGCATTTAAATGTTAACTAGTCATACAAATGTAAATGAGCAGGGGAAGTATTTGTAGGGCCTGCTGAAGTTTAGATGTGTGCCTGTTGGGGAGGAAGGTACAAAAAGTCTTGTTAATAGTCAACTTTTTCCCGGGTTGCCTCACTTAACGGGATCAAAAGTGACATATTGTCATGTTGACAGGGTGAAAACAGTTGGTCTGGATTAACTATAAAGACACCTGCAAATATTAAACTAGCCTGCACAGATTACTTATTTGTCATTAATTTATAATCACTGTTCAGCATCTTATGTTATAGCTGTGCAATAACTGCTATAGTATGGGTCAAGAATGATTGTAAGGATATATTAGTATTAGATTTTTATTAGTATTATTTCTGAATCCAAAAACACTTGGGATTGTGTTAACCCCTCTTCCATCAGGACTGTGTTTCCTAGAACAAGGATTTTTATTTTTTGCTTGACTGTTTCTGATCATATCTCCTGCCTCTTCCTTGTCTCTTCCCCCCCTCTCTCTGGCAGGTTTTCCGATGCATGTCCACGGTGAATGTCGGAAGTGGTGATTCCCCCAGATGGAGCTCCAAAGTCAACATGGCCCTGGCGGTTCATTAGTGGTGATCCAGCAGCCTTCCCTAGAGAGTCGGCAGAGGTCGGATTACGAGCGGGAGTTCCAGCATGCCGGCATTTTCTCTCTGGAACAAATCAAGGCCATCCGCTCTAGCAACGAGTACACCGAGGGACCCTCAGTGGTTCGGAGGCCCCCTGCACCCCGGATGGTCTCCAGACCCCATGAAAAGCAGGAGAGGACTCACGAGGTCATCCTCGTCAATGTGAACAACAATTATGAGCACCGGCCATCAGGTCACCACCATCATGCTGGGGGCAGTGTGTTGGTTGGGGGACAGCAGTATGGTGGGCCTCGGGCACCAGGGCTCAGCCGCTCTACTAGCACAGGAAGCGCCGCCAGCTCAGGGAGCAACAGCAGTGCCTCCTCTGAGCAGGGACTCTTGGCACGCTCACCCCCCACCAGACCTGGCATTAGCTTACAGCATCACCACCGAGTGGATCGGCCTGTTCGGACTCAGCCGAAGCCCAAGGCCCTTTTACAGCCCCAGCAGGGACCTCAATTTTACCAGCCTCCACTAGAGGCTCCACTCAAGCCCCAGGGCAAAGGGAAATCAGACTTTTCTGGCTCTGGCAACGAGGTGGTGGCTGCTGCTGGGCACCAGTTCATCTGCGAGCGCTGTGGGAAGTGCAAGTGCACCGACTGCACGGCACCCAGGAGCCTGCCTTCATGTCTGGCGTGTAACGGCCAGTGCCTCTGCTCTGCTGAGAGTGCACTGGAGCACGGCACGTGTATGTGCCTCGTTAAGGGCATCTTCTACCACTGCTCCAATGACGATGAGGGGGATTCATGTGCTGACCACCCCTGTTCACTGTCACGTTCCCACTGCTGCTCTCGCTTCCTGTGCATGGGATTAATGTCGGTACTCTTCCCCTGTCTGCTATGCTACCCACCTGTCAAGGGGTGTCTGAAGGCATGCCAGGGTTGCTATGACCGGGTTAAGAGACCTGGCTGTCGCTGCAAGAACTCCAACACTGTGTATTGTAAACTGGAGAGCTGGGCCCCACAGACCCAGGAAAAGCCTTCCTGATCGCTTCCCAAGGTCTCAGTGATTGCCCGTGCACAGGAGACTCTAGAAACGGATCTTATGATGACAATGATAATGATAGTCACAAATTAATGTTTATCAGACATTCTGAGCACCTCCCATCCACCTCCCCTCCTCGCTGCAGAACCCTAAGGAGCTAAGCAAAGGAGTAACGAAAACCACTCGATTATTTTTAGTTTTATTTTCTCTGGATCAGGACCATGTTTTTACAGACCAGTGTTTGCCTTAACTGTTTCTATGTCTATCCTCAGCTCCTCATTAACACTATTTTTTATATATATATGAAAAAGTTTTTCTTCCGTTTTAGGTAGGCACTTTCCTCCGGGTCTGTGTGCCCGGTGGGATCTGCCTCTCACCAAATCTGTGAAGGACGATCTACTATAGGGCAATTATGTAGCTGTTACCTGGTATTCATAGCAAGCAGGTATGTTTGAGTTTATTGGTTGCTGCCACACTAAAACCGTGGTTTCTATGCTCATTTTGCATTAACGAAAGCACATCCATCTCATAGTATTCTCCACTTGGATATGTTTCTCTCCTTCCACCCATCTGAACCTTTCGTACACATTCTGTGGCATATTCTCCGATGTTTTTTTTGTTTTCCTTTTATCTTGTGTAAATTGTATGTTCAAAAATCCATAAGAGGAATTCTGGCTATTTTTTAAAAGAAAAAAAAATGTCTGTTAAACATTTTTTTTGTTAAAAAAATATTTATTATGTGAAGCTCTATTATTTTATGATATTTATTGCAAGAGACAGTCTTAAATTTACTCATGTCTGAATATAACAAAATATCAAATACTTACTGAAAAATTAAAGGGTGGCACAAAAGAAAACTATGTTAACTTTAACGCAGAAAATATATTAATTAATGAAAAAATAGCACTGTCTGGTGTCTTGATTGCCCTGCTGAGAAGCAGTAACTAAGTCTGATGGATGGCCGCTGGCTGATTTTTAAGGGAATGTGAGTCTGTTTCTTAAGTTGGGAGTTCGGTGGTGAACAGCAAATCACTGTTCCATGTGTGTATGCATGTGTGCGTGTGTGTGTTCACGCTGGGTGTGGAATTCCTGTTTTTTTTTTTTTTAAAGCTACAAGTAGAAACAGCTTGTAGCTCAAAATGTGACTGTTTACATTCTTGGAGGGCTTCTTTGCTGCGATTCTCCTCGGTAACCTTGAAAGCTAAACAATACAGGTCATTGACATGATTAGCCCCGAAGCTGCTAGCATCAACAGAGTCTCCACGTTTTCAGAGTGAGTTATGCTCACAGGAAGTAGCTCTCCCTCTAAACCCCCCTCTCGTCTCACCCGCCAACAAGTCACCACAAAACTATGTACTGTAGTTTATTCCCTGGGCTTTAACGCAGCCAGATCGGGATGTTCCCAAACTCCCAAATGGTCTCCGCGCTGCAAACCCAAGAGTGTGTGCCATCAGATATGAGAGCGGTCATTACGAGTAGCCGGGGCCACCTGTTCAAAGATAATAAACCGGGGCTATCAATGCTGGGCTTTTATGGCATGGTTCCTGCACTAAAGGCAATGACAGGGGCCAATCCAGCCCCCACTGTGACCCGCAGTCCCCCATTTGGCCAGCTCTTTTTGTCAGTGAATTTATCACGTGGGAAGTCCACTGAACCCCTCCACCCCCACCACTGACACCCGCGCACTTCTCCACCTCCGGGCCCCCAAGGGATGAGATCATCACTTTGAGAGTTGGTTGGTCAGCCACAAATACCAGCAGCTGGGGAAACACAAAAGGTGAACAGGAAATTCTCTTGGACAAAGGAAAAAATATACAGCAGTTTAAATTTGGAGAGCTGCAGCGCTGGCGACAAAACAACACAACCGTGTCTATTATCAGCTACAAGTGATCACAGTGGCCTTGGTTGCTGTTTGCAGCAGGCCTCGGATCTTTGGATTATTTAAAACGTCTTCAGCTAAAGTAAACTAGAACCCACTGTTAAAGCTCTGGCACTTCTAAGGAATAATTATTTAAGCGCTTTAAAGACGAGAAAAGTAATAGTAAACTCACTAGCATGCAGTCTTATTTTAATCATAAGTTTACATGAAAAAACAAAACACAAAACATCCCTTCAAGTTGGTGGTGAGTACTCACCGGGCTTTTCTTGGTGGAATGTACCTTTTGTTGCTCTGAGTAGTTAGGATTAGCGATTTGTCAATTTCCTGTTACCTTTCACAGCTGCAATTTGAGCCCTGTTTGCTCCTGGCCCTTAGATGATAGCATACAATAGGAGGCCTCTTTTTTTTTCAGGTTTCATTATCGTTCCTCACTATGGATGAGGGGGATGGAAAAGATCTACACTGTATTCAGAAGGCGGTGAACAGGAAGACAGTGTTTACTTGATATTTTCCAGCCTAAGCCAAATAAGGCAACAGATCCTACTCCCACCATTTTCAGAACTTGGCTCTGTTAAGTCAGCAACACGTCTCTTAAATCTCTGATCTAATCAGCTGAGGTGTCTAAAATAACATTCAAGGCCCATGAATGGCTTCTTTCACTTTTCAGTCATCCTGCCACGTGAACTGCTCAGTAACTGCGTCACATTTTACTCGTCACACGACTAGCACTCCATCGAGAAAAAAAAAGACATGAATTCTGAGTCAGTATTAAGTAATTCAATGGCAAAAATGGTAACAACCACCACCCCTCCTCCTCCTCCCCTTCTTTGCACTTGTTTTAGAGTAAATTTAGCTGCTCCACACACCCACGTAATGCTATTTGGAGTTGTCAGGCTTGGCGGGTCCCAAGCTGCAGCTTTGGGTTTTTTTGGGGGCCATACAAGTGCAAACATGCATGACTACCAAGTGAGTCACGATGGAAGCTCCAACCCACACATCCTACTGGGACAGTCCTTTTCTTAGCCGGGGCACTGCTGCCGGCATGGTCACAGTGGAGCAGGATATACTCTATAAACAGTCATCCTCCTCCGCAGCATTCATCACCAAAAGGCTTGCTTCAGCTTTCCTCTGCCTGCTCATCTGGTTTTCATTATTTCCCCTCATGGCATATAAATAGAAATTAGCAATCAAGGGAAATATGGGGGTGGTGGATGTTGGAGGGGAAGGCAGGTTTTTTGGACTTCAGCATGACGACCAAAGTTTATGGAAGTTATCTCCTCAGATATTTGGTTTTTGTTGATCTCAGAGTCCTGGATCGACATGTGAGAGGGCTGAAGTGTTTTAGAAACTGCTCCAACATCCACACTCAGCCGCCGCAGGATTAAAATGACAAAAGAACGATATTAGGTATCCATAAAACATTTCAGTGCAGGTCCCGATAAAGTCAGAATTACTAGAGTTTACTGTATCCAAACACAGGGAAAGTACAGTATATTGTTGCAGTCAGATGAAAACCTTTCCAAAATATAAACATTTTAGTAAGCAGCAATGTTTTTGCTTTGACTGCCATGTAGTGCTGACGTGATTAAAAAAAAAAGATTTGGAAGAAGTAATTTCTCACACAAAAACTTAAAATTCCCCAAGCTGAAGATGTGAACCTTTCAGCCAACAGATAGATATTAAAAAGCCAGAAAAAGAGACTTCTACTTAATAAAATAACTGCAGTTACCCTGCTTGACCTCTATGATGGTGCCAAGCAAATCTAGGATATGTCCAGAAAGATCAGACAATACGACATTTTCTCATTTACCCCTTTGTTGCGCTTGGTCATTTATTTTCCAAATGACACATCCACCTGGGAGATTTGAAATTCACAAAGCAACGAGAGTAAATAGGCTTTTGTTTGATTGTGGCTATTACTTTAAAAATACACGTTAACATTTTAAAATGGGACCACTTTGTCCAAACAAATAGTCCCCTAAACAGTTTCCTGTTTTGAGCAGCACACTTAAATGTTAATTCCCTGTTTCAAATTAAATCATAAGTCACAGTGACAACTGTATTAAATTCTGGGAAAGTTAAACCAAAATAATCCAATTAGCAAGAAAGACTCTTTTGTATTGTGTGGCACTAAGGAAAACTATATTTAGATGCTGTTTCCTGTTGGTCAGATGACCAGTGCAGCACCTATTTAGCGGGCTCTTCCCTCATTGGGAGCTATAAAGGGCCTGTAGGTACAACCCAGTGTTTTATCAGGTGTTGGACTATTGAAGACGGATGTGTTTCATTGGGGTTTGAGCCCTTTTAAGCATTTGCTTCTGGGTATACACACACCCACAGGAACTTAATGTAACCCCCACCCCTTTAACTTAGTACGTGTCCGTGCAGCATCACAAGCCATCTGATGCCTCATTCTTAACCGAGCCTCCTTCCTGTCTCTTGTCTTTGTCTACTATTTTATGGACAAAGACCAGCTGGAGACAGTGATGTCTATCATGAAGGAGGAGGCTGATGGATCAATACAGTGTAATGCGCTTGGCAATCTTTTGGTGAGCTCCTTTTGAAATTAATGGTTGGCATAATTTTTGCTACAGACTTGCTCTTGATCAATGGTTCCTATTGACTCATCAGTATTCCAAGTGTTTGCAAAGTTAGCGCAAAAGCCTTTGCCAGTTCTCACAGGCCCCAATAGACTCACTTGTGATTTTGTATTCCGCTCACTAATTAAATCAGCAGGGTGTTTGTCTCGCTGTTGCTCTTATTGGAGACTGTTGTTAGAAACAGCAGTTGTCAACAGTCATTAGATCTGATCCCCGAATGTGCTCACAGCGATTCAAGAGATAATCAAAAGACTGTAGTTTATAGCCAGGGATATGTGAAAATGACAGCAACAGACAAGAATGATGAAGATCAGAACCTGCCTTACATAAAAATCACCTCCACAAATAAAAGATCACACCCTTGTTTCTCTTTTTACAGCCCCAGGGGACAATCTTGTGTGTTGCATTCCAGGCCCCCTACAAGCACGTTTGTTCTGTTTTTCCCCTTTGATAGCTCAAAAGAAGGCCAACAAAAAACATCACACATGAACATCAAGTACATAGTTTGAAAGATAAATAGATTTGTGCGTAGTTTTCTGCAAGGAAGAAGAGGAAGCTTGCTCTTTCTTTATCCACCCTTCCCTCCCCCCTTCTTTCTCTCCCTTTTTTTCAAGATTAGACTGCATCCAGACAGATGGTTCCCGTCTGCTGGCTTTTTTCAATTCACTTCCTCTCGTCACAGACAGCCTCTCTTCCCCCCCTCT